TCATGTTTTTGTTTTCTCATGATCCTAATGAATGATTCACCAGTATTGCTGTATGGAGAAATTATATGCTGATCACTCTTAGGGTTTAAAGGGTTAAGGCCATGAGAATAAAGGAAATGATTACCAACTAAAGAAGCTCTTGATTTTTTTAAACAAATTCTCTTTGTCAGCACCATAGGAAACGTGTAGAGAACAGTAAGGAGAATGTGTATACTGATCTTAAGGTGTAAAGGGCTGACGGCAAGGAAGCTCTTAATATTGGACAACAGCACAGGAGATAACTGTCTCATCCCCTTCACCATGATCAGTCTCAAAAAACAAAACTGAACAGCACTGTGAAAATCTGAGGGAGTAGAAATATTGCAGTTTTTGCACACCCTAACTCCATACCACTGTTCACAAAGTTAATTTCTTAGACATAATATCATGTCTGGGGTTCAGTTGATTCTTTTCCTTGCTCCTTGAGTTGTCTTCCTTCCAGAAAAAAAGCAAACTTTCACTTTTATCCAAAAGCACTCAAGTAATGCAGTAATGTAATGACCCTGTATACTATTCAGATAAATGTTTCAAATGTTAGTTAGACCATAGAAGTTTATTGAATCACTCCTAGAGGAATGTTGTCACAGTACAATATTCTAGCATAGAATCCTGTCCCCTGCATTACTTGAATGGATTGGGGCAAAAGTGAAAGTTTGCTTCTTTTTTTTCTGGAAGGAAGGCATCACATGGTGCAAAATAATGCTCAGTGATTGGTTAGAACTCATAGTGACCCTGTGTACTACTTATGACAGAATCTTCACATTACCTCAGATGGAACAAGAGAGTTTTCAATGAGTGATAAATATGCTTTCATTTCTGCTTTGTCTTTCATTTCGAAGTTTGCACTTGTAGAGAAGCCCTGTCAATGTAAAGTTTAGACGACTTTTATTATATGGAAAGGTAGTCATGAGGTAAATCCAAGCATTCTGATGGTTCTTACTGGGTCTATATATTGCTACACAGATTGTTTCCACAGAAACAGTCATAAGCCATGTAATTTTTCTGGCAATAGCCAGCATATTCAAAATAAATAGGTTTGTTTCAAGTGTCATATAATAAACTGCTTCACTGCCCTTAGTCCATACTGCCACAACCAAGGGCTAATATTCCCCAGTATGGCCCTGGTGCTCAGTTATAAGAAGTTGATATCTAAAATGTTACACAGATTCCAAAGTAGTACTTCTATCTTCTTTCAGTCTACTGGTTCAAATCCCCAGTATGGCCCTCATGCTCAGTTAGTAAGAAGCTGATATTTAAAATGCTACAGAGATTCCCAAATAGTACTTCTATCTTCTTTCAGTCTACAGGTTCAATTAGTTTTTATTCAATTTTAAGCCTACAATTTTTTAAAAAAGTTAAATGTATAATTAATTTTGCTGGTAATGTTAGATTTCTCAGAAGCAGTAGTGTGGTAGTTAATACAGTGAACTCAAGCAGAGAGATCTGGGTTCAAGTTTGGTGAACTCAAACTTAGAGATCTGGGTTCAAGTTCTGTCCAGGTCAGGGTGTTGTGTTGCAAGACACTTGTGGGCAAGACACTTTCCTCTCACAGTACGTCTCTCCACCCAGGATCATAAATAAGCATCCATGGACTATCAAGAAAGCTTTACCAAATGCTGAAGGTTACCAGGGATGAACCTGCATTTCATCCATGACTTAATGCTACCAAAATAGTGTTTGCCTTCAGCAAAGATTGGCAGTTTTTAGGACTATATGTTATCTATTATTTGGCTTAACTAAGAATCCCTCGGTCAAAAGTTACTGAACACATGCTTCTTTTAAAATCATACAAAATCATAAAGGTGAAACACAAGTCTCCTCTCAATTTAAGTCATGCTTGAAGTAATGACTTGATAGCCAACATCTGTGAACCTATCAAAAAGCAATGAACTCTGTAACTAATACTCAACAGATCCTACATACATTAAGTAACTAATACCCATACCTTAGCCTCAACAAATGAAACTATTTCTTGAAAATCACCAATCAAATCTCTATCTGCTCTTAGAAATGGAACATTGCCTAAATACAAAAGCAAAACATACCAGTAAAACTGAAATTTTTTTTTTTAAGTTTCTCAAGAAAGGACATTATCAAGGTGCTATACAGCTCTGTATAACTTATCCTTCTTCCAAAAACAATAAAAATAAAAAAAACACCCACCTGTTGGAGACATAAACTCAGCATTCCTTCTGCACTTAACTTCATGGGCCAATCCACAAAATCTAAGGTAAGCCTGTAAAGGGAAAAAATTGCAGTTTAAAGCAAAAATAGCCTCATGACCCATGAACAAAATGTCTTTCCAGTTGATCAATATCTACAGATTCAATCACTTGATTGAAAGAGAGTAGAGAGTTTTTTTTTTCCACAGAACACTTAACATTTGTTGCATTTTTCTCCACGTATAATACTTGACAATATTCTTAGGACACTTCAGACAACTGAAAAGGTTGTGAATAAGTAAATTCTTAAATCCATGTAGGTAGCAAACAATTGCCCCTTCCCCTTTGCAATGTTGATAAAAATCACTCACACAAACCCAAAAAAGTGGGTTTTTTTATCAGTTTTCTTTTCTATCGTGGCTAAAGAAAAATGCACTCACCTCTATACCTCTACAACTTGCAGCATCTGTCAGAAGAATGGTGTCTACAGGAAATATAGAAATAAGAAATATTCAATAAAAACCAATCCCTCACATTGGCTATTAACCATTTGACCTCAAAGAGCAAGTAGTATCTTATTTCTCTCTACAACATTTCCCCTGAATCAAAGAGTAAGGTCATGAGAATAGGGAAAATGATCATACTGAAATACTGCAAAACTGCATAAAAATTTGATCAAAACTGAAAACTGCATGAAATTCTTGCTGCATTTTCTCTTGTGACACAATCAACAATTGCTTCTTGAGGTCCTTGAGCTTCTTCCATTGCCAGCGCATGAGGGACTTTAAAAGCCATAGTTTACAAACTGATCAGACTAAATACTCCACATTGCAAGGTCAAAGTCTCTAGCATTATTCAAGACACATGACCTTCTATGGAAACCCATGATATTTCACCTACAAGAAATTATTTTGGTGACATTTGGTTTGTCATGCATTCCTTTCAATAACATTTGTATTTCACAGCTATTTGAGATCAGTGGAGGTGCTTAATCACTGCTCAGATTGAAGAGGAACTGGAATCCAAATAGGAAAAACTGAAAACCACTTTAGATACCAAATCCAACAACCCATCCGTATTTTTGATGAAAACTGCACACCAAATGCCAAAAGAAGGTTAAATCTGCAAACTACCAATCTTAGTGCCCCCAATACCCCCTCCTAAAGAGGCTCTTCATTTTTAAACAAGTTCTCCCCGTCAGCACCTGAGAAAATGTATAGAGAACTGTTTGGAGAACTTGCATTCTGATGTTAGGGTGTAAGGGGTTGAAGACTTCATGTGGAATCAAATTTCCACAAATCCTAGCAGGAGATTCAATGAAGAATAGCTCCCTTGCAATGACTATCTGATGAATATGGTGTGAAATGCACATTACAGACATGTTTCAGAAAAATTAATAAGATCTTTATTCAAGAAATATTACCTTTGCAGGGTTCATATAGCTCCACATTGTCAGGCCATACACCATGTTCTGTGCCTGAAAATATAAATTCACAGCAATAGAAGCATTTTTAAGCTGAATAGTTAATATGATTTCCACACAGCCCTATGCATAACCCTTTAACTCCCAAAAGTGATTCACATGTAACTTCTCCCTACAATATCTATCCACTGTCCAACAAACAGGTAATGAGAATACTCAAATGTATCAGGTAGAAGTTATCTTGATCTAACACCAAATTCCTGCAACCAATTTACAAGAAAATGTGTAGCAGCTGAATGGGAGAATTAACAATCAGATCCTGGGAGTTAAAGCATAGTGAAAGCAATAGATTGCCTTTTGGATTATAGCTTTGTTTTATCATAGTATGGAGATCTCTGGAAATCTTATTATGCAGTTTTTCTAATGGTTGTTTCTTAGGTTGGGTCTCATGAAAAGTAAGGAAATGTACCTGTCACAAGATGCCATCTACAAATGTAAAATGTAATAGAAGAGATGTAAGGGAAGAGTAGAGGTGTCCTCAGTTGTAATTATTACTAATAGCAGGTTTGCTTTGTACATCTAGTTTTAATTTATTCATACATTTAAGTTTGTGTTGTAATCAGAGCTCTCAAGTTAATTTTCTAGTTAAGAGTGAGATACCCTCATATTGTAAATACTTACAATATGAAAATTGATAAGCTTGATGAGGTAATAATCCTCTTTGGTATTTCCAATAATAACCCTGGGAATTGTTTGTTAAATCACATAATCATTCTTGGAAAATATACCATTTATTCATGTCGTTGTAAAAATATCAAGCCGTCTGTATCCTTACTGAAGGCTAAAACATCTGAAACTCGGAAATTTGAATTTTTGATTGCAAAAAAGAATAAAAAAGAATCTATTCATTATAAAAAATGGGAAAACATGTTATTGTAACTCAATAGATGAGTATCGGGTATTAACAGTTATAGACGCAGTTGTATATACAGTCGTTCTACCAAAAAAGGAATTTGATGTAGAAGTATTTGTACAAATTAGGTTTATATTATTATATAACCACAACATAAATTAAATCTAGCCAACTGTGAATGTAATGTAACGCAGTATTTCGTAATTAGTGTTAGTGAGTAGCGTAAGCGTTAGTGTAATTAACTTTGTATTTGTTTGTATTACTCTAGTATTTGTGCTTTAAGTGAAAATAAAAAAAAAATGTTAAAAAAAAAAAAAAAAAGAGATGCCCTGGGCATCTCCTATCTAAGTGGGGTGTATGGGGGTATGCTCCCTTGCAAATTGTGAAAAAAAATCACCTGTGAATGCTTTCCTCAGCTATGAGAAAGAATTTCCACTGATTGAAAGTGCTCAAAGCAAGTACAGAGGGTACAAGGAATAAATTATATTTAAAAGGATAAATTAATTCTATTGGTACTAACTAAAGTAGCAGTTTGCTATCTCAAAATGAACAGTAGAATTGACAAACCTCACTAATAAGTGATAAATAATATTTTTAGCGTGAGTCTTGGATTTAAGTGAATCTCACGCTTAACGCACTAGACTTGAGAGCTCCATTAATGACACTCGCAATGCATGAAAAAGTCTGCGAAAATTGATCTTTCGTATCCGTGAAAGTTTCCTTTTAGAAGCATTGGTGCCCATCAGGGGCAGTCACACTTATATCACGAGATATGATGCTTCATTAAACATGACCAAATGACAAGGGTAAAGAAATTCACTGATTTTGATATTTACTATAGAGATAACTAGGAAGTTCCGCAATAAAACTTACTCATTGCCGCAATCACAGCATCCGCTATCGGCCCTGCAGCCGCCATCTTGAGAGAGCGCTGGGACCTAATCCTATTTTTACGTCTTGGTCGAGAGTTTTTCGATGATCTGTTTTTGATAAACGATCTTCGCCAAATAAGGAATAATTGGTTTCGAACTTGCTTAAAGTGGTACAATTGTTGTATCAACTTGAAAGATATGTCAGAACTTGATTGTTGAAAGCTCTTAAGAGCAGATGTTGTCAACATCGGCCAGATGCGACTGCGCGCAGCCTGGACAGCAATACTCAAATTTCAAATTCTGTTCAAAGTTCGAAATTATTCCCTCCCCTACTTCCCGTACGTATAAACGGAGATCGTGTTTGAAAACAGTGCTAGAACTCTCTGGTGCCAGATTACAACAGTATAAACCTGGCTTCCAACACGTATTGCTCGACATTTGGGTCCGCTAGCGCTAAAGTCAATGAATTCTCCCTCGGAAGAAAATAAGAAAAGACATCGCGAGAACTTTTCTACGCCTGAAAGTGAACCGAATGTACTGGAAGCGAGCACTGTAAAGTGTTTTCCCGCTGTCAAACGCAGTTTTCGTCAAAAACAGAGTAATTGGAGATGGAGATGGAAGTATTTTACGAGGTATGTTTCTCTTATTTTATCATCTCCCCTTTGTGGCAAGATCAAAACCTTTTTCTGCATGTTGGATCGAGTAGTTTTACTTGAATTGGCGGCAATCAAAAGTAATTGTTGATACTTCACATCCTTCGTCATGTTCGCAGATATTCTGCACGGTAATGAACTCCCCGTGGATTCCAGAGGCAAACATCGCATCATATTGTGTAACAAAAAATGTTCAACTCTAATATCACAAAGATGCATTATTACTGGTATTTCAGATGTATGCGTTTGCAGAATGTTTTAGCGTAAATGATAGGCGTTGAGAATTATTTTTGCAAAAAAATATGTTACAGCAGATGGTTTCTCGTAGTTCTTCAATATCGCAAAGAGTCGATTCGTCGACTTGATATGAATTTCATCTCAGATTTTTTATATTTCTTGAAAACATCTAACGAACGAAATCCAAATTTGAACGCTTGTTAATTTCATCGGTCAGGTGAATTTCTTTCTCTTTAAAAATCCCCGGTTTTATCTGTGTAGGCACGAAATTGAAAATATTCGGGTAAAACCCCTTTGTAGTTGGCGGCTATTCGAAAGCTTCTCTTTCTTAAATATTTTGTATTGGTCTTCCTTAAGTGTTGAGTCGAGACCACTTCGAATTTTTATTATGGGAAGAATATTTGGGCACGCGTATGAAATCGTTCATCGATCCTCAAAACACAATGATTTTCGATTCATATTTAATAACTTGCCAAACCACAGAAACTAAACAATTTCGATTCTTGACGAGGATAAATTCCTTTAATTTTAATAATCCTGAACACATTATTTTTGCAGAAGGTTTTTAATTCGATTTGCGACGTATATTGGTTTTATTTTTTGTCAACTGGGTAAACAAGTTGAACTCCTCGCTGTGTTTAGAATTGTTGTCGCCTGCCATGAGAGTTTTGTCGCCCAAAACAACACTTTGGCATTAATTTTCTAGAACCATCAACTACACAATAGTTTGTGGTCGGTTTTTTACCCCTAAGGATTTTGGATGTGGCTTGTGATTCACAAAAATAGTAGGCGGTTTTTCTTTCTCTATGGTAAACACGTGGACCTATTGTTTTTAATGAACTTCGTATTGGTTTACAGTGGCGAAACCACACATCAGATTTCCATCGTTGTGTAACACTGATGACATTCGGTCACAGGAGTGTTCTCCTCAAAAAACCGCAAACAGCTATTGCTTACTTTTGTAAAAAAAACATTACTAATTGCTAGTCAATTCTGAATCATTTCTGATTTCTCTCAATCGTGTCTAGCTACAAACTTTTATGCTGTATCATCTGTGACTTCTCTCACGCATATATAGCTTCAAAATTTTATACTGTTGATTGGAAACGGTTTAATTTTTACACAGTGCTGGCTAGCATCTCATACCTCTTCCTCACAAGCTTAAGCATTTGATTTCCTGTTATTGATAACGTGTGCTTCCTTTAGGCCTAATTTTAATAATTTGGTTATTCATTAGATTATCACAATGCTATGCTTTGCTAGCCTCTGGCAGAGCTAGTTGTGACTTGCTAGATGTTTATTGAGTAAAGTTGACAACTGTTACAGATCTGAATTCTGAAGACAGCCACGTTGCCTTTTCACCAGCAGAAAACTGTTGAGCATAATCATTGCTTAAAGGAAAACAAAAACAAATACAGTTCATTTCCATATATATCTTGTCAATTAGATCACACATGACACGAAAGTGAAACAAAAACAAAATCAGGGTTAATTACCCGAGTAGAGTATAAACAACAGACAAAGTTGTACAATTTCTATTTGTAAAGACAAATTCTGATAAGGCAATTTTTGTCAAAAGCAATGCATGTTAAATATTGAAGGATGTCAGAGATTTTTGACACAGAGAACATTCATGCAAAGTGACTAATGCTTGCTTGTCTGATTTGTGTTGTTGACAGGGCCCTGCAGCCAATCTCAGAACAAGGTGAAAATGCAAAAGATGACACAATTAAAGGTGATGAGAGTGACCGCAATTCAGCAGGGGTTGGGAGCAATGAAAAGGATTTAGAAAGAGGGTGTGAGAGCATAGATTTATACAATAAAGATAAAGTGGATTGTGCATACAACACAAAGGATGAAAATAGTCTTCAAAATAATCAAGAATCACTGGCATCTAAAGAAGATTACAGTGCCTGTAACAAACTAATTGAGAAGTTTCAAGAAGCTGTGTTAGATAATGCAGTAAGAATCATTCAAGCTGCCTTTAAACGTTTTAGAGAAAGGCGCCATTTTCTGAAACTAAAGAAAGCAGCCACAGTAATACAAAGGAGTGTAAGACAGTGGCTTAAATTGAGACAGTCGAATGAAAGGCCTCGGCTAAAATCTCTAAAGCACAAAGGAAAGCTCGAAATAGGGGAACAAAAGAGTGGTTCAATGCCAAATCTGCTGAATGGAAAAGTTGATAGTATTCACACTGAAAACAAAGAAAAAGGAGGTGAAAGAGAGACACCTCATGGAGAATTTGAAGATGAAAGAGAACCAACAAATGGAGGCTTTGAGGATGAAAGAGACAACTGCCAGTGTAACTGCAAGGAACTGATTCATGGTAATGAGGAGCTCTGTGCACGAGAATCAACTGTGGATGAAACTGACCAATTTGACATTTCATTTGATAGTCTCGACACTGAATCTTTTATGGGGAGTGCTGATAATCTCAGTGAAACAGATGTCTACATAGACCAGAATGGAGATAAATCTCCCACTGGTGATGCAGATGCTCTCTCATTGGCCGACAGCGGCATTGACATGTGTTCTGATACAGTCCAAGAAGTTGCTATCATTGAGGAATGTGAATTTTCCAAGATTGAAAATACCCTTCCAAATACCTCAAGCTCATTAACAAATGAACCAACTGATCACTAAAAATGAGAAGAATTTGGTCCTTGCTGGCATAACAATTTCTAAATACTTGTACTCTGACTGTACTAATTCAAAATCTTGAAAAAAAAATTCTCTCACAGGTATATATGAATGTGTTAGAAATTGTCCGGAGAAAGTGGACACAAGTCAGTCTTGTTTTTTTACTTTTCCCTTTTCATTTCTTGTGCATATTTTTTTGGTAAAAATATTAATAATATCATGATCATATATTGAAGTCTGAGTGATGGGGTTGAAAAACAAAAATCATTGCTCAATATAAGATGTATTATTACGCAGATCAGAGCTATTTTATATTTCTCATGTTTTATTTTTAGCATGAGAACTCTGTACCCATCTCAATTTCAGCTTTGAAGACAATTCGTTTACGTCACTTTTGAGTATTTTTTTTTGTATTATTACTTTCATTGCCAATAGTTGCTCTTCAGATTATTTCAACACAACCCAACCTTAATTGCACACGTAAATCCCAGAGGTTATTAATTCAGAACCTCTCTCTACAATATTAATACATTGTTAAGTAATCAGGTGATAAGAACAGACCAACACATCATCTAGAGGTTGAAATCTTGAAATAACACCAAGTTCTCTCTACTAATTTTCATGGAGTCCAAAGGGAGGATTACTCCTCTGATATGTTAAGTGAAAGGGTTCATGGAAAGGACCTTAGAACCAGCTCCCAAAAGATTGATGGATTTGGTTATTTTAAAATGTCACTTAAGCTCAAGTAAGGCGATAACAATTGTGTTGTTTGTAGATGGTAAATTTACACTTTGCTAGCTGGCTTGCCTTAAGCAGTTTATGAAGATATTTGCATTCACTTTGAATTGAAAACTTGTTCTGTTCTCCTCATATGGTGACCCAAATAAGAGAAAATTTCAGCGTAATGTTTATGTGCCATTGGAGGAAAACTCATTCTTTCTCAAACTTATTTAGTTGGGATGTCCTTGTCATGAGATTTAAACCTGTAAGTTGGGTTTGCTGATGTTGACTTTTTTTAAAGTGTATCTGCACAGTACTTATTCAGGTGACTAGAAGTTTGTTTGTTCATCTTTGTGAATTCTTTTGCTTTTTTTATTTTGCATGCTAATTGCAGTAAAGTGTGAGAATGCCAGTAGTTTGTAATTACACTTTACTATAGTCCCATTCCTAGAAAGAGAAGAGGAAAGTATGTAAAGTATACAATAGATAGTCATTTTCAATTTATTAGTTTCTTTTCTAAACATTGCTAAATAAATGCATTTCAATTCAATTGGCTTCAAATGCATGCAAAATTTTGGAATAGATATGATGCATCAATGGAACAGAAGAATGAAAAGTTTCCATCACTTGTAAAAAGTGATTTAAAGAATTTTGTTGAATTTTATATTAAATTGTGAATAAATTATGGTTGTTGCATGGAGTCTGTTCCAGACTTTCAGGCAACCAGAATATTCAATGCTTATTTATGAAAAATACTTGAAGAATTTTTAATAAAATCTTGAATTGACAGACTGTTTTTTTTCTGTCTTTATATTACACTTCAATCTTGGGAAAAGAAATGTAGTCTTGGAAGCGGCTGGAGCACTCAAGAACTACGTCTCCTGTTTCTTTTTACACTTCTTTCGTGCGCTAGCCGCTTCGTGTGTACTTTACATCAGAACAGAGCACAATCAAGGCTTCTTTATTTGTTCAGGTTCTCCGCCTCCAGCCTTTACTTAGTTTGATCGCAAACGCCTTCACGCGTTACAATTTCAACCGTTTTATAAACAAACATACCATGGATTAAGGTCAATTCTTTTTATTCCCTAACAATGTCTTAATTGGATTATTTACAAAATCCTTTCAACAGTAGTTTTAAAATAACAAACTCTTATTTTTATCAAATGGCATTAATAAATAATTTCAACTATTTCCTTGTGTCTTAATTCATTTATTTCTGAAAGGAAAGCTGCTTGTAAAATAATTTCTTGGCAGTGCACGTCAAGAGATGTAATTTACGCGCGTAACATTTAGTCAAAAATATTCAATGACTACCTTCCTGATCCGCTTTGTCACAATCAACCAAAGCGTTCTGATCGTAGTCAACTTACAAAAAAATACACATATTGTATATTTAAAATCATATCAATTAATTGTAGCATGTAATATTACCAGTTCTTCTGAAAATCTGCCTGTTTCAACAAATTTCAGCTTATTGTCTCGTTTATAAAATTCTTGCGGAGAAAAGGACTGTACCGCTTCAGTTGATTAAGTTTCTGATTGACCAGTAACATCTCGAAATGGATTTCTTTCACTTCCCTACCACTCAAAATCAAGCCACGCGCGTCAGAAGAAGGATGATGCCAGTCATATATATGTAGTATCTTCCTCTTTGATTGGATGACAAGATAAGAAAACCAACAAATAGCTGTCGTTACGTAACCAATCAGAAACTTTCCCAAATTAGAGAGAACGATACGGTTAGACGTCACTTGGTTTTTGTTGATAATGGTACGAGGTTTTGTATCCACAAACATATTTTCCAAACCAGATTTATTTTGTCATTTTGTGAAATGTTCTTAGCTGCCACCAATATAGGATGTGACTGGAATCCACTCGCCTCTTGATGTCACTCGTCGTTTCAATACTGCAAAGAGAAAATTGAGAAAAGGTGTTAGCAATTTTTATCTAAAACGCTGCAGATTTCCCTATAGGACTGAGGGGGGAGGGGGGAGTGGATGGGGAGGAGGTCAGGTCTTTAATCGTTAGCTAAAAAGTCGAATCAACCATATAAATTGTAAAAAGTTGATCACGTAAAAAGTCGAGTTGACCATATTAAGAGTCGAATTGTCCATGTAAATAGTAAACTGGGTCATAGAAATACAGAGGGAATATTGATTGATTCGGCGCCCCATAGAATCACCTTAAGGCACTGCTAACGCTCTAACGAAGGACTAACGCTCGAAACGTCCGCTTTAAAAACTCTTGACAGTGGCCAATTTACATTATCAACTAAGTTGATGGAACCAAATCATCTTCCATTAATAGGTCCATATCACATCCAGCAAACTGGCAGGATCAGTAATGTGGAAAGCCACAAGTTAGATGGTGAATCTTAAGCTCGGAAAGGGGGTTCAGGGATTGAAGAAAGATGTTGCAATCGACAAAGCCAGCTGGTAGATTATTTTTTTTAGCGTTACAATGAAATCTCAACTTACCTTACAAATCAGCTTGATCAGATCACGTGATACTTTGTCTACGTCATCCAATGACGTTGTCAGGTAAATGTCATTGGAATCTAGCACAAGGCTTCTGAGCTCCTGATATACCACTTTGGACCCAATCCCCACCGCAATAACACGGACTCCGTTTCTCTCGAGAGGGTGAACCGCGTGGTATAATGAGAATGTGTCAGATTCTGTGGCAGACTGCGGGCCTTCTGTAATGAAGACTAGAACTTTGGTTGGCTGCGAAGCTCCCGACTGGCTCGGTGGTCGTTTTGCCTTGAACATCTTCCTAGCTGCAACCAAGGCTTTCTCCTTTCTGTTGCCTCCACCGAGACGGGGTAGAAACCCTACAGCACGTTGGAGAATGGAGGAGTCGCGGTAACTGTTCATCCCGATGGTAGTGAAAGCTTTATCACCGTATATTACAACTCCGATCCTGGTGTCCTGTTTTGAGATATCGTAAAAGGAGGAGAGCCGCTGAACAAGCTCTTTCTGTTTTTGGTATCCCTGTTCGCCGACGCTATCTGAAGAGTCGACAGTAAATCCGACGTCTATGTTTTTGAAACAAGACTTTGGCTGGTAATTACCGGCTGATCCCTGTGAATCTGAAAAATTATGACGGATTAGAACGGGAGAAATGAAACAAATACTTTTTAAAGAATGCTGGGTCGCCCTGGCAAAAGACGAGTATAATTGACATCATAGTATGCCAAGATTCTAAAACCTTCCTAGTCAGTACAATCCCAAATGCCCTGGCAGCCTTGGCATATGATGATGACAACTGTTTCGGGCACTTACTTTCAATCATTAAGTCAGCAAATATGATTAAGCAACACCTCTAAAACACTTACTTTCAGCTGCGTCGCAGGCTGTGCGAGCAATCTCGTGAGATTTCGTGAGCAGGTCATCAAAATCATTCACAGTGAAGATGTCGCGATCCTTTTCAACAATCAACCTTAGCTCATCGCGCGAGAACTGGTCACCAACCCCAACAGCAAACACCTTAACACCGAGCTGAAACAACGGCACCACGGCTTCCTCTAAAGGCGTAGCTTTCAGATCTGAAGATTGCTGGCCGTCCGTTAGTAGAATCAGCACATTTGGGAGCTTTTCGCGTTCGCCTTTCAACTCACCAAAAAGCGAAACAGCTGCCATTTCAAGACCGTTGTCGATTCGCGTTTGACCTCCCCAGTATGGAATCTTGTCAACAGCATCTTTAAATTCGTTGTTGTTGTTGTACTGTCCGAAACTGATCCATAACTTGGCTTCCCGGTTGTAAGTGATAACACCAACGTCCGTCTGCGTCTCTGAGATCGAAAATGTGTCTGCCACTCTTTTGATAAAGTCTTTTTGTTTTGGGTAGTTTTTGGCTGTGATACTACTTGACATATCCATAACGAAAGCCAAGTTGATGCGTTCTTTACATTCAGCTTCATACAATAAATAAAAATAATCAGTCAATTATTTTGGACTTCGTAAACAAACTTTGTCAGTTTACAACACGCAATTTTTTTTCATTTCCTAGAGATCAGAGCGGACAACCCCGAGAGGGCAATATGGGCCTTTCTTGCTCGCGCGGATAGCCAATTAGAACACAGGATTCACTTCATCTTGCCCACGGGCGCTGCTAGAGATATAATAAATAAAATTACTTACCTCGGAAAGGTTTTACTTTGCACGTTTTCGAAGCAATGTCGGTTGCCATGTTAGCCAAGTTAGCAAAATCACTAACGGGGAACACATCTTCTTTCCCTTCAGTAACTTGATAAAGTTCGTTAAGATCGACCTCGTCTCCAATTGCCACTGTATATATGCGTACACCAAGCTTTCGTAAAGGACTGACAGCTTCCTGAAGGGGTATCGTATCTGGATCTTGACTCTGCCGTCCATCTGTAAGGATCACCATGATTTTACGTTTTCCCGAGCGTGTGCCGCCGCTGGTGGAAAACATTTGAGTAGCCGCTAACGCCAACGCTTTATCAAGGCGCGTCCGCCCCTTCGTATGTGGAACACGGTCGACGGCGCTTTCGAATTGTGCTGCATCGGCTTTGTCTCGAAAGCTGACTTCTACTTGGGCGTCACTGCTATATGATATTAGACCGAGCTGATGGTCTTCTATGGAGGGGTCGAATGCAGAGGCAAGAACTTTGATGAAGTCTTTTTGTTTAACAAAGTTCTCGTCACTGATACTTCCAGATGTGTCGACTACGAAGGCAACGTCTGTGTCATCAGAACATTTCACAACTGAAAAGACACGAGGAAAAATGGAAGATGAGGAGTTGAGGAATTAAACTTAAAAAGTCCTTTTCAACTCTTTGACCCTAAGATTGACTTGCATCTAATTTCTCCGTACGATATCACCTCTGAATTGCACATTTAGGTCAGGAGAATAAAGGAAATGATCATCAACTGAAGAAGCTCTTGATTGCTAGACAAATTCTCCTTGTCAACACCTTAGAAAATGTATGGAGAATATGCATGCTTAAGTTAGGATGTGAAGCTGGGTTAATCGACTACCGAGTTCAAAATTTTTTGCACAGCTTTAAATACTTTTTATGAGAGAAATTTTAACCAAGCAGTGGCCAGAGAATTGGCGATATCTTGACGGAAAGTTACTTAGAAGGAAAAGGTATGAAGTTTTTGCATTTTTTTTAAGGCCATAACAGCCGTAGTTACCTTGAGGAGGACGCGTTATGATATCGCACGTTTTCCTGGCCAATTGGCGAGACTTGTTAACCAAATTATCAAAGTCCTTTATGCTGAAAATATCCTCTTCTTTCTGTACTAACTTGCGTAGCTCCGCCATTTTGACTTGATTGCCGATCGCGACAGCGTGAACCTGGACCGAGAGGCGGTGCAATGGAAGGACAGCTTGTTGCAGAGGTAGGGCGTCGTAGTCTTGACTCTGTTGCCCGTCTGTGAGAATGATCATAACCCTTGGCACACCAGGCCGTGCTCCACTTTCTTCTGTGAAAACGTTCTCCGCTGCGAGCTTGATAGCTTTGTCAAATCGTGTTCCACCAGCCGCGAAGGGAAGTTGTCTTACTATCGTGCTAAAAGCGCTCTGATTCATGTGATCTTTGAACCGAATGTGCAGGTTTGCGCTGCTACTGTAGGTAATGAGGGCAAATTGAGTCATTGTTGGAGTCATATGAAATGATTCAGCAACTCTTGTTACAAAGTCCTTCTGCTTCTCAAAATCTTGCTCTGTCATGCTCTCAGACCCGTCCATGAGAAAAGCAACATCAGCCTTTTCGGTGCAGAGAAGTTCTGAGTTCAGAGTGATATAAGAAACAAAATCAATACCTAGAATTTTAGTTTTAATTATGTGAGCAGTTGATTCTGCAAACAGTTATTCACCGAATTTCGTTAATGTTTTATATCGTTCACGCAGCTAGGGCCAGAGTTATTGTGCCAATGCTTCTAAAGGAACTGCGTGTTACTCTGCTCGAGCAGGCACAAGCATAAGTAATAGGAACTTTACAAGAACTGTCCCAAGTCAACGCCCAAGGACGTAGGCAAGGTACGGGTAAACGAGAAGTTTTAGTTACCTTTCTTGGATATTTCCTTTGCTTTGTGTTTAGGAGTATTTATATTCAAAGTTTTAAGCCAATCTCTCTATCTAGTCTCCTCCTCAGATCCCTCACGATCGAGTGGATTGACTACAGATACATTTGGGCCTGGGCACGACAACAAAGCTTTTCTGCTCTTTCATTCTGCCTGGTTTGGAGTATATGCTTTAAACATCCATTGGATTACAAAGCTATATACATATGCTTTGGCTACACTGTTAGTATGCGGTTGCCTAATTTGTGTATGCCTCGTTAACATAAGGATCTGCTCTAAGCTAATGTACATTCTCTAAAAGCTTCATTCTTCAACAACCTACCGGGTCTTTTGATGGTTTCACAAGTTTTGTTTCCAATCTTTTTCACGTCATCTAACAGCTCGTCAAATTTATTCACTACGAGAATATCTTTTGGATTTGTTACCATTTGTTGAAGCTCTACCATGTCGATTTGGCTCCCGATTGCTAAGACGAAAACCCGGACGCCAAGATGGCGCAAGGGAAGCACCGCTTTCTCCACTGGCACAGCATCAAAATCAGCGCTCTGCTTGCCATCTGTAAGGATGATCAGGACTTTGGGGAGATTAGAGCGAACTCCGCCGTTAGGAGAGAACAGCCCGTTGGCCGCTACGCCGAACGCCTTGTCAAATCGTGTGCCACCGGCTGAAAATGGAATTTTGTCGACTTCGTCTTGGAAACTGCGCAGGTCCAAAAGGTCTCCAAATTTCACGTCGATGTTTGCGTTACTGCTGAATGAGATGAGACCGAGGTGGGACTTAGTTTCGCCGACGTCGAAGGTAGCTGCAACTTTCTTGATGACGTCTTTCTCTTTTTCAAAGTCTTTTTCTGTCATGCTTTCCGACGCATCCACCAGAAAGGCAATATCAGCGATTTCAGAGCAACCTAGTTATTAAAGGAGAAGGGTATGGTTAGCGATCTTACATCGCTTCCGTTCGATTCTGAAGCTTTAAAAAAGTAGGTCTGCGCAGGAAAAAATGTCAAGGCCTTGTGTTCCTTTTTTCGATATAAATCAAGTATACAATATTCTCGCTTTCACTTGATATTGACCTTTTTTTTTTCAAGCTTACTTAAATGTTTTGCTTCAATTCCACTGTAAAGGTTCAAGACATTTATAAAAGAACGCGAAGAAAATCCGACTCTCATTGTACCTCGTCATTCATTGATACCGAAACTGCTCGAACCCAATATGGCGGGCGTTCTATCCCTTAGCTTCATGTTTGGCACAAATCATAGGTTATGAGAAGTCCCTCCTTTTTGGCGTAGTCCATCTTACGAGTCAAAAAAATACAGCGAATAACAAAGGGATATTCGCTCGGCGCACGGAACTATGGATGTGAGGCACACGAAAAACTTTTCTTGCATTTCACCTCAGAGATCCGAGCGGCGCGCAAAAATCAAATTCTTTTTCCGCCGATATTTTTTGGACTCGTGAAACAGACTTCGTCGAAAAATGGGACTTCTCTTAGTCTAAATAAATCAGAGTCTCGTAGAAACACTTCTCTAGAAATTTTATTTTAGCTATAACGTACCTGTGCATGGTTGAACATTACACTCCTGTGTTTGCCGATCTCGACCAGAGCATTGTTTTCCGCCATTGGTTGGGGCCGGTTTGGTACAGGTTCTGGTCCTCTCTCGCTCACCTGTACCACACAACTTTGAGCAGGCCGTCCAGTCAGTCCAGTCACTCCACTGGCCATCCACTGTGAAAATGCAACATATTTAAGCAAGAAGGCAAATTTGGTTACTGAAATGTCGATGCAGCGATGCCCTTTACCAATTTTTTGTTGATGATCCGACGCTACAGAAGCGCTCATTTACAAAATTACGGCTTTATTGTCTTTAAAGGAAAAAAAAAAACACGCCAAATGTGTGAGAGAAACCAAAGTCGGTGACTATTTTAACTAAAAAAACATTTCTCACTCCTTTACATCCGTCTACAATTTTTCGATATTTTTTCTTGATTTTGTAAGATTTTTCACCTGGGCAAGTCTGCGTGTTACAAGGCCGAGTCTCATCGGGTCTTCCCGAACAGTTTTTCCCACCATGTTTCGGGCGGGGATTGGTACAGGTTCTTGATCGCGAATGGAATCCACCGCCGCAGGACCTGGAACATTCCCGCCACTCTGTCCACTCGGCCCAGTTCCCATCGACTGAAATTATTTCACAAATAGATTAGGAATTCGGAGCCACAACATCACGCGATAGTCTTCTAACTTAACACCTTTCTCTTCATCAGTTGCTTTTACCCACGTAGAGACCTACTATTAAAATCCAAGTTCCGAATAATAACGGCTGCTTTTACGGCTCAAATTTTTTTACACTTTTGTAAGTACTTCTTTAGAAATCGCCATGGATACATTATCTTCAATTTGTTCGTTCCACATTTGTTCCAACTACGGATGACATCGGAATTATAATTTCTGTGAGATGAAGCCTTTTCAAACACTACTTGACATCTGAGGATGTCGTTTCGCAAAAATATGTAAGATAGACCCTCTAGGTAGACCACTCTTAAATACTTCTTAGAATATTCCCTCGTACATATTGCAAATAAAATCTCGTATCAAATATCAATTATCTCATGTCAGGCTTTTTTTTCACATCAGTTTACCTGGACATGCGTCAGTGCCACAAGGTCTAGTCTCGTCTATACGACCTTCGCAATCTTTTCCCCCATACGCGGGACTGGGTTGAGTGCACGTGCGGGCACGCGTCTGAACTCCTCCGCCGCAAGTTCTTGTGCATTCTGTCCAAGGTTTCCATTCACTCCACTGTCCATCAACTGTGTACAAAA